ATCGCGGTGGGAAAGATGGCGCTGGATTGATTTCTGGAACGATTGTCTTGTCCATGTGTAATACCAGTGAAGAGGGAAGGGTGGTGCTGCATGGTGGTCGACAACTCAGCACAGATGGCGACGTTCGGTGAATTTCGAGAGGGGTAGGTCTACGACAGGTGGACGCATGAGTCGTCCCGCACCACAAGGGCACGTACTTATTTTATGTACCCTTGCGCACCACCGCAATAACCGATACGTGCAGAACATGTTAGACGTTTGGCTATACAATAGTATATCTGCACGCCAACCCCAATAATGTCTGTGATCGAACACAACAATGGCCTGCTGGCTTGCCACGTCATAACTCTGAAAACCGATGATCAAAACACCTCCACCAACTGATGGTTTTGATGAGCAGATTCTAGGGCGTCCATGCGGCAGGCAACGTGCTAGACGACAATACTCTAGGCACGTGCATAGTTGTCGATATATAGCTAGCAACTGGTGTGTGCTGCGACACTAGGACTACAAGTAGCCACCAACGTAACGTCGTGAAACAATCGCTGACGTCGGTTCAAGATCCACATCGGGCATGCCGATCTTTGGGCGGAAGAAGGTCGACATCCGTGTGCCGACGGGGAAGAATGCCGTCAACTTGCGCAAGCTTCTCTTCCTGACGCTGCCCGAGAGCTCGCACATCTTGCCGGGCGACGCCTGGGACAAGGTGGCGATCGCTCCCAAATCGCCTTGGCAACCCAATCATCTCGTAGATTGACTTTCGGTGCCTGACGCTCATGAAGGTCAAGATGCTTCGCGCCGCGTGCTTGGCCCGGGAGCTCGAGCCCAAGGGCGGAAAGCGCTTGCTGGTGTGTTCATGGAGGTAAACATGGTCGATTATTCAAGGACGTAGGTGGAGCGGCTGACGTCGTCCCTGGAACGGCAGCGGGTGGAAGGTAGTAGCAGCAGTAGCACGGGCGTCGCTTAGGCTCGTGTTTGCAGAGGACGAGGCCCGGCGCGATGTCGCTGTCAAAGAAGAGCGCCGGATAAACAAGCTTGGCGGTATCTGGACCTGCGGCACGGGCACGCAAGGCCAACTCGGTGCGTGGATGGATACGTTGGACAAGAGACGATATTCTCCACGCAGGCCACGGCGACTGCGAGAATTATGACATTCCAACGCAAATCAAGAGCACCCGCGGCATGCACTTCAGTCAGGTCTACGCGGTGCGTTCTAGTACGATGTATGACAAGTGGTCGCATGGATGATGGACGCAGGGGTTTGATTCGGACATCACCTTTGGCGTCACGCGCGCCGGCGACGTGTACGTCTGGGGCAACAAGTCGGGACCGACAGGTCTTCCGCGTCCCAAGAAACAAAAGGCGCCGACTGCCACCCCTGCAGCGAGCACCACAACCAACGAGAACGTTGCAACTGCAGAGGAGGTTGACGACGACGACGACGAAGATGACGACGATGACGACGACGATGACGCCAACGACGATGCCGATGCAGCAACGGACGAAGACGACGATGATGCTGGCGTCGTGTTGCGTCCGGACGTGATCCCGGCCCCCGTGAAGCTCAAGTCGCTCTCGGGCGAAGACGTGGTGGCGATCGCAGTCGGGCGCGTGCACTGCGCCGCGCGGACCAAGAATGGCGATGTCTTTACATGGGGCCAGAACGACCACTGCCAGCTCGGACACGAAGCCGAGCATAGTTTGAACCAAGCGCAGTCGCGGGTGCGGTCATCGTTGTTTATGCACGGTTCTCACAAACCATGAATTAGCGTGCGATCATCAAGTATGGTCTCGACGCGGTCGAGCCCGTGATCTGGACGCGGACGGTACCAGAGACGTGCGTCATTGTCGGCATCGCTGTCGGGACCGACCACACGCTTGCAGTCTCCGACGACGGTGACATTCTCGGCTTTGGCTCCATGTACAACTCGTCCGACCACTCGACGCTGTCGCGGCACCTGCGCAAGCAGCGCGTGACCCAAGTAGACATTCTTCCACAGGATCGAAAATTGTCTGCAAGTCCCGACGCGTAGATCTGTTGTGGGGCGCTGCACGCGGCGATTGTGAACGCCAACGGTCAAATGTACACCTGGGGCAGCGGCGACGGCGGGTAGGGTCTATGTTCCATCTGTTGTTTTTGGCGCGCAGTGGAGATGGCAAGGGTGTAGACGCCTCGGGCATGGCGATTTGGCGATGCAAGTGACCCCCCGCCTCGTGGATGCTTTGGCCAGCGACATTGTACTGCATATTGCGTGCGGCTGCTGGCACACGGTGGCGATTGTGCTCGTGCCGCCGCTGCTCAAAGGCGGCTTCGTACGCGGGTTCGCGGTGGTTGGATCGATCTGAAAGTGAGCTATGTAGGTGTACACGTGGGGTACCGGACGTTATGGACAAGTTGTCTATTGGCATGTGGTTGTACCGAGTATGACGTGCGTCGAGTAGCTGGCCCAAGGCGGGCAGCAAATGGTGTCGACGCCGGGCCTCGTGCGCGACTTTCTCATGCAAAGCGTCTTTATGAAGCGGATCTGCGCCGGCATGTACCACAACGTGGCACTTTCGATCGATGACGAGGTCGCGTCACGACCGTATACTCCTGTGTTTGATCGAATTGGGTAGGTTTACACGTGGGGCAGCAATGTGAACGGGTGTCTTGGCCGCCCATTGGAAATGTCGACCAACCCCGAAACGTTCAGCGCTGTCCCGGGCGTCGTCGAAGGCATGTCGGACTTTATTGGTCGTCCCTGCGCCAGTACGACGATGCGACATTGCTGAACGTATGGACAATATGTCTAGTTGCTTGTGGACGCGAGTACACGGTGATTGTGACCAAGCCGTATCTCGGACCATCCGAAGAAGAGGTCGAAGCGGCCAAGGCGGCGGCGGCCGAGCGCCAAGCTGCGATCCAAAAGCAAATCGAC